GGAGGGGCCCTGTGGCAGCGGGAGGGAGTCAGACCCGCTGGTGGAGGGGGTGGCTCCGCAGAAGCACAGCGTTGGGTGTTTGCGTGGAAGAAGCAAGTTCCCTGGCAGGAACTGGTTCCCAGTGGGATTTTGGCTGGGGGATGGGCGAGGGAGATGGCACTGGTGAGCACCTTTGTTCCCCAACAAACTGAGCTCTGTCGTCTGGGTGCTCAGCAACTCTCCCTCCCTTTGTCCTCCAGCCTTCCCGCTTTCCGAGCAGAGCTGTTAACTTATGACCTCCCAGATGATAAGTCGCGCTTGCTGTGGGAACACACTCTGTCCAGCCCCTCCGCTTTTGCCAGCCAGACTTGGGGGCTCTGCTTGGCCGGCAGGCTGCCCCTCCGCCCTGGCTCCCTCCCGCCAGTCCGTGGAGTGCGCACCGCCTCGCCGCCCTTCCTACCCTCTTCTGTGGGCCTCTCGTCTGCGCTTGGCTCTGGAGACTCCCTTCTGCTAGTCTTCTGCTGGTTTTCTGGGTTATTTAGGCAGGTGTAGGTGGAATCTAAGTGATCAGCAGGGCGTGCAGTGAGCCCAGTGTCCTCCTACGCCACCATTTTTGCTTGGTCTCCAATCCTTTATTTTTTAAAAAAATGTTTATTTTTTGAGAAAGAGAGCACAGGGGAGGGGCAAAGAGAGGGAGAGAGAATCCCAAGCAGGATTCATGCAGTCAGTGCATGGCCAGACCCAGGACTCAATCTCACAAACCATGAGACCATGACCTGAGCCAAAATCCAGAGTCAGATCCTTAACAAATTGAGCCACCCAGGTACCCCACAGGAAACTCCTTTTGATAGGCATTAATGGCAGCTATATTTTCTGGAGACTCTGCTTTAGTCTGATGAGGGGTTTTCAAAGAAGATTTCTTTCTGATCTGAATTTAGTTCAGATCTTTTTACTTTAAAATAGTTGTGAGGTGGAGTGGCTGGGTGGCTGAGTCAGTCAAGTGTCTGACATTTGATTTCAGCTCAGGTCATGATTAATGGGTTCAAGCCCCATGTCGAGTTCTGTGCTGACAGCCTACTTGGGATTCTATCTCTCTCTCTCCCCCTCTTTCTCTGCCCTTCCCACACTTGCACTCTCTCTCTCTCTCTCAAAATAAGTAAAAACCTAAAAAGTCTTGGGGCACCTGGGTGGCTCAGTCTGTTAGGTGCCTGACTCTTGATTTTGGCTCAGGTCATAATCCCATGGTTCATGAGTTTGAGCCCTGCAGGCTCCACATTGATAGTTCAGAACCTGTTCGGGATTCTATCTCTCCCTGTCTTTTCCTCCCCATCAAAATAAATAAATACACTTAAAAAAAAACAAACAAAAAAAACACAAAAATAATCTTGATACCAACTCTAGAATTCTGAGTGAATCTCCACAAAGTTCAGCAGGATCCATCAGAGAAATCTCGCACACAACCCAGGCCCCCACCCCAATTGCATGAGGATGAGTACTTAATACTGGGAAGGGGTGGGAAGCTTTGCAGAAGAGAATTAATGACAGAGAGAGAGAGAGAGAGAGAGAGAGAGAGACAACTTTAAATTGGCTAGATTGATGAAATTTGGAGGGCAATGATGGGGGTTCAGAGCTGATAGCCAAGAAATAGTTCTTGAAGACGTCTTTGGTGCAAAAAGGTGATTTTATTAAAGCACAGGGACAGGAAGACCTGCACTGGGTTTGTGAAGAATGGCTAGTTGTTACTATAGGGAAGTTTCCAAAGAAATTTTCATATGCTAAAGACTTACAGATTACTGGAGGCCTAGTTATTGTCAAGCTAAAGTTGTTTAACCTAAAGGAAAGAGAGGGGTTGTTTAAAGCACCAATTCAAATATTCGTGTCAGTTAGAAATCCAGAAATATTTTTTGTGGTAATCTGGAATGTATACACAACATTTTATTTTTATGAGAGCAAAAGCTCCACCTGTGCAACAGCTAAAACATCTAATCCTGTTCTATTTTGTAGAAAATTTTTATGCATTTGAATTATTTTAGTATTTAATAATATAACGTTATTTTGAGAGTCATTTAAGGTTTTTAACTGTGTTACAGGTGGTATATAGCCATTACATAGACTCTGTTTTGTTTAGTAAACAACCAAGTAATTAAGAAGAGGTACTTTCATAGAAACAAGAAAAATATAGGTTAATGGTTACAGAAAATTACAAACTCAGGGTCTACCAGTGCTGCCAGTAAGATTTTTTAGATATCAGGCTTGAAGCAGCCTCAGATGGTATGGTAACTGGCAGCAGAGATCATATGGTCTTTCTGGTTTGTAACTCAAATGTCTGTGGTGATCCTTTTGAATGCCCCATTGTAAGAAAGAATTGTTGGTATAAATTGGGGAAAGGGGAATGAAAAAGAAAGGTACAGCCATCAAAAGAGAAGTTTGAAGTCTTCCACAAGTTTGTAGGAATAAGTACTTTAGTTTGCTCACTGCTTTCCTGTGAAGGGGGTACAGGTTTATTTCAGATATAAGAGCTTATGAAGAGTGCCCCTATAACTTTATTGCAGTGGGAGTATATAATATGACCTAGTAGGGGCCCTTCTATTTTGGAATTAAATCCCTTGCTGTATTAGACTTTCAATCCTTTAAATAAACTAGGCCTCCTGGGTTTATATGGATGGAGTGGGTTTCTAGTAACTGTCAGTTCAGGTTTAGGGAGGATATGGTTTGCATATTTATTTATAGATTTATGGATTAACCTGGCTTAAAGTGAATAATTTAATAAAACACTATAGTCTTCATCAATTGATAGGTCTACAGTGAGAAAAGTCTTTTCATATACAATTGTTGGGGGAGTCCATCCCCATTTTTTAGTTGTTTAAATAATCATATGCCCATGGGGTTCTGTTATCACCACAGAATAATAAGCAAGAAGATTGTTCATACCTGTGCTGTTGTGACAATTTTTCTGAAATTTACCTCAAGTTGTCTAGCTTAGGCAAACATTTAAAGACAATCAGAACTAGAATTTAACATCCATAAAGATGCCTTATTAAAACATAATTTTACTCTCTAATAACCTTCATTTCCAGAGATAGTCAAACCAAGACTAATTTATTTGTAAAGCAAGTTCAGTTTTAACAAGCTCGGCCTAATTATTTACATAAGTTTAGCAAGAGTAGTGATTGATCGTATAGATCTTTTAAAATTTGCTTTGCTGGAACTTTTTATAAGGAACCTCTAAATTGAACTTTTAGTAGCCCCTCTAGGCCAGAAGCCAAGCCAAGTACTTGCCATCAGACATGCCTGCAATACCTATAGATTTGGGCAAATTCCTCTTCATGAGATTCCTGAAGTATCCTGAGGTACTTGCACCTTTCAGAAATTGGCATTCTTTACTCATCTGGTAAGGCTGCTGGGAGCTCTATAAGCAAGGTATCAGGCTAGCTTTTCCAAGGAGCTTAATGGCTCCATGTTTCATAAAGTCAACCTTAGTTCCTTAAAATTGTATGGTCATATCTGAGCCTATGCATGTCTCCCAAATACGATATTCCAGTCAAAGCCTTGGTAAAATAAACAGTATTTCCAACGATGTCTTGTTACAAGGTGAACAGAGTCTTATTGAACTTATGCAAATAACTGTAATTGCCATGAAAGAAAGAACACTCACTGAGTTTGTGAATTTCAGAAGGTTCAGGTAAAAAGAAAAGGTAAACAGTTCAGTTTGTTTACAAATGAATACTTTATCACACTTCTGTATGTCATAGATGTCTTAAGAGAAAGTTTCCTTAATCTGGAAAAGCAAATATTTGGAGAATCAGCAATATTTTAAAACAAGGGTCACAAAAACTATAATCTTCCTCAGTTCACTTGGTCCGATGTTCCTAATTCTTGTTCAGTTTGAATGTAGCTTTTTAGTTCTGGAAATTCATACCCATTTTAGTATTATTCTTAAAGATGTCAAATACCTGTATTTGTTCTAAAAGTTTTTTATGAATCTCCTTGAAGATGAAATATGTTTTGTGAGAGAATAAGAACAATTATAAATGACAAAAACTCAGAAATGGACACTGTTACAGATCTGATGAGAGTTCATTATGATGCAATTGACAAGGTAATCCAGTTATTTCTGTAACACATCTAACACTTTGATAATCAGAAAATCAAGTGATGACTTTATTACCAAAACATTAAAAGTTTAGGAGTTGCATGTATATTTGAGCAGTTATAGCATTTACCCAAGCAATACAGCCCCAAGGTTTACCATTTGTTTGACAATGCTTTTCAGAGTAACTTTACATAAATAAAGCTTAATTGGTCAAAAATACTTCATTTACAATTTAAATCTTGGGAAAGTTTGTTAAAACCTTAGAAAGCTATAAAGCACATCCTAAATAGGATTATAGATCATTACAAATCTTATTTAACCAAGGTGGCAATAAGAGGTTCCAGAGGCAAATATGTTAGGGTTATATAGTTAGCAAAACTTAGCTCCTTTAGTGGATCCTGAGAAACTTAACAGGAACCCATGGGGGAGGGGGAGGGAAAAAAAAAAAGAGAGAAGTTAGAGTGGGAGAGAGCCAAAGCATAAGAGACTCTTAAAAACTGAGAACAAACTGAGGGCTGATGGGGGGTGGGAGGGAGGGGAGGGTGGGTGATGGGTATTGAAGAGTGCATCTTTTGGGATGAGCACTGGGTGTTGTATGGAAACCAATTTGACAATAAATTTCTAAAACAAAACAAAACAAAAAAAAAAACTTAGCTGCTTTAACATTGAGAAGTTGTAACTAAGTAATCAAAGACCTGAAAAAGACAAACATAAGCTTTGGTTTTCTTGGCAGACAAAAAGGAAAAAACAAAACAAACAAACAAACAAACAAAAAAACTTTTTTTTACATTTTCTTATCTTATCAAAAGCAGGTCAACAGTCCAAGAAAACTTAGTCTTTTGAGCAGAGAGAAAAGCAGAATCCATTTCAACCTTAGTCTGTCCTAACCACACATAAAATTCCTTTCCAAAATTTCCCTTCATGAACCTTCTACACCTCTCCTTTGCCTTCAAATCATGTCCCAAGCCATATCTCTCCAAACAACCAATCTCATTTAGAACAAAATTACTTTCTTTTACCTTTAACAAAAATACTTTGCATTCCTTTTATCTTTCTTACAAATCTCATTTTTTTTTTTTTACATACAGAGTTGTTTCCCTTATTTACATCAGTCTTAACTTCATTCAGCAGAATTAACTCTTAGAAACCATAGTCTTCAGTGAAAACTAAGTAGTAACCAATTGTAAACTGTTACACCAGAATTCTTTAGATGGCAAATTTATGAACCACTTAAGCACCAAGCATGTTTACCAAGAGACCCAAAATAGCCTTATTTGCTCTCCAGTAAATCAAAAACACAAACCTATGTTCAGTAATCAATGCTTTAGTATTTTATCCTTTTTGGAAAAGACCTAGATGTCCAACGAATTCAATCCCATTTATCATGCAAGTGAAACTTCAAAGTTTCATTTTACCAAAGACTTTGAAAACTATCTTAATAATTACCCATGAAAACTTTAAGATAGACAAAATTAACCTTTAAGTCATCTTTTTACTAATAGTTGGAACAGAGATAATATGAGCTTATTTGACCTTTAGCAAACATAGGTAGAATAAGTTTCATATTTAATGCTGATAACTCTAAAGACATGTCTACCTTAATTAAACCAACAAACTTAAATTACTTTGATTGTTATGCCCAGAATTCATGATCGCCAAAGACCGCCAGGGAGCCGAGTCCGATGCAAAAGCAAAAGAGCCTTTATTCGAGCTAGCTCAATCTCAATCCCCTACCTGCACCAACGCAGTGGTGAGATACCAGGGAGAGAGAGAGAGTTTCAAAAGGACAAAGGTTTTATTGGGGCCTAGGGGCAGTTGGTGAGGTAATGGCTATGGCCTTCCCTGGGGAAGGGTCCGAG